CCACGAAGATTTCGCTATCGATAGGTTTCTCAGTTTCACAGCCGATGTGAAAAGTACCTTGTTCGGAGATATATCCTCCAAACGTAATCATGTCAGTTCCATCTGTCTGCATGAAACTTTCTCCTCTACCTCATTTTTTGCTTTCTTGTTCCTTTACCTTCGTTTCTTTGTCCTCATGATCAGTCCGAGCACCACACTTGAATATTTCATCTCTTCATTTCTATTCCATTTATCATTTGATATTTCTTCAATTTTTTTTTTTTTTAGTTTTTTTTTCATATTCATATTAAACTCAAACGACAAGCCTCCACTAAATCTTTTCTCCCTTTTTACTTACTTTATCACCTCCTCGTTTTTTTTTATCTCCCTTTTTCTAACAATATAATCGCTATTTGTCAGTTTTCTTAATTATCAGATAAAATTGGCGTTTAAAGCAACCCTGCCTCACGTCATTTTATATTAGTAATTGTATATTTCAAAATACCGCGTAGGAGTTTTATTTTATTTTGTTAATAGATATTTTTATTTTGGAACAAGCCTTTCCTTTACCTTCTTAATTTCGCACCTACGTTTTCCTACCAGAATGATTTTTCAGTATTACGCTTCTTTATACAAATAAGACAGAAACTAGCATTTAAAATGAGATCTTAGTTACTTCAGTAGGAGAGCACGTTCCGGCTTTCAGCCACGTTGTTGCTGTTAGTTAGAGCTTCTACCGCCATACTTAATAGTGCCTGCTAGTATACTTTGGTGATTCCTAATTAAGTGCTAACTACGCCAGTTTGATTCCTTGCAGTTTCGGCTGATTAACTTTATTTTGTGTTAGTTAGTCTTATATTTTAAGTTAAAACCCAATTGCAGTCTTCTTATACGCCCAAGAGGAGACATCTTTATTTCTGTTTTGAGGTAGAATTAAAGGATATTTTAACCCATCTCTGGAGTTGTTACCCACGCAAAAAAAAAAAAAAAAAAAAAAAAAAAAAACAGCGAATGGTGGCCATTGTTCTTCAGTGAACACTAGCTTAGTTAGGCCATTGCAGACTTTCGGAAGCCAATCATAAAAAATCTCTCCTCAGAAAAAATTTAAATGATGGAATTTCAATTACCATCTAAGCGACTGTAAGCCACGAAGATTTCGCTATCGATAGGTTTCTCAGTTTCACAGCCGATGTGAAAAGTACCTTGTTCGGAGATACATCCTCCAAACGTAATCATGTCCATGATTTGAGTGAACTCCATTTTTTTAGAATATCTCATGACATGCGGCGGAAGACAAAAGAAAATTCTTGGGAAACGGATTGTTAAATAAATAGGTCTCGTAGACAATCTATCCGATTATTATTGCACCACCAAATGCAAAGACAGTTCTCCCGTGAAATTCATTAAAGAGGCATTTTTTAAAAGCTGCCCTCCTATCATTAGCGTAGGAAGAGAATTTTTGATCGATTTTGTTCACTTTCCTTAACTTCAGATGAGCCAAATATTTTCGCCTATACCGTACGAATGGGCACGAGGGAACCTTTTTTACAAAGCAACGTCAATTAATTAACACTCAACGCTCAGTGAACTATGAAACCATTTTATTAATTAGGCTAATTAATAAATTTATTCTTTTACGAAGAGAGGAAGTAAAAGGAAAAATGTTACCTTATTTTTGTTTCTCAAGGATTTTGCGTTTTGAATCTTTTGTAATATCATTTTCTCGGTGGCTAAGGACTAATCATCTATCTGTCAACAAATTTTCTTAATCACCATTTCAAAGGAGTCGAAAATAAAATTAAAAAAAAAAATAATAATTCTTTTAGAATTATTTGCTTTTTCTTAGAATTATTTTCTTTTTTTTTATAAGTCAGAGTGCTACACTACAAACAGATAGGATTTTTCCGTGCATATATAGTACGTATTATCAATTGTAGACCCAATTATTTTGGAAGAAACAGCATCATTGTATAACAGAATACAGTAACCCCTCGCGGTACCATCAAACACGTAGTTGACTAACATAGCATCACTGGCTCGGCTGATATCCTGTGATTTTGAGCATAATCTGAAATAAAATAATGGAAACGAATGTCTGCATCAGAATAGCACTGCATCATGGAAAATGCTATAACATCAGATATCTAAATTGAAGAATTTTCGTAATAGATCTGTAGTAATGTAGCCTACATATGATTACACATTGCTTACACCTTAATATTTCCGATATTAAAAACTAGACTGGCGAAGGCGGTTTGTAATTTTTCATCTTGCTTCCTTCCAAAAAATACCTAATGTATCTACAGTGGAACACGAACTTAAACGGTGATGGATGAGGATTTCTCCCCATCCAGGACTCGGCGATTGGGTCCCCTAAAAACCCCAGTCGCCTTTTAAAAGGGGAAGTATATAAGGTATTTCACCCGCTTTCCTAGCGTGCCTTCGTGGTGTAGTGGTTCTGCACGTCGGTCCGGTATTCCAGAGTTCCGTGGTTCGATTCCCGGCGATGGCGTTTGCTCATTTTTCATCTCTTCGGCTTTTCCAATTTACCTAAAGTCTCTACAACCCATTTAAGATATATATAAAATTATTAATCCAAATGGGCGGTAGACCAGAAGGGCTATTAGTCTCGAAACGGCATTTTGGGCATTTCACTATAAACGGCGAATCACTTTTTAAATTGCTGCCACCAAATATAATAGCCCTGTATTGTATTTAAAGAAATTAAAATAATGAAAAATATGCATGAATGTAAGTATGTTTCTGGAATATTGAAAAAACGACAATACCTAAAGACATCAAATTTTGAATACCATAATCCTCTACCCGATTATGGGCACCTGGAAGAACGAATTTTGAATTCCATTTTATTAACTATTTCATATTTTGCAAACCTTTAACAAATGTTTTATTAACAAACTCAACGATTTCAGAATGAGCAATAACGAAAAAAAATAAAAATAAAAATAAAAAAAACATTTTTATCTCCACTCGCGAGACATTCTACAGGAAATTCTAGAGATATGAGGCTTTTAATTATTTCGTAATATTGCTGTTGAGCTGAATTTTATGCAGTTTAAATGTGAAGAACATGATACTTAACAAATAAAGGTAACACACAACGTTAACATGTTCCTTTGAGCGTGATATAAAATCTGAAAGCTTTTGGATTTTGTATGTTATATTATATTATATTATATTTTCGGCATTTTTATATAATTACACGATTTTCGCATGATTTGTATGAAACGTTTCAAACTTTGACATAGTTCTTTGAAATTTTTTCAGTTATATCTATTAGGGAAGGGAATACACGTGGTTATTATGAGTAAGATCGTGCAGTTCAAACCAATTGTATTTAAGGATAAGTTATACTTCTGCTTATTGAATTGTCTCATATTTTTTACTTAACATCACTGACACAAATGCACTGATTCTGTTGCTTAGACAATAGAAATATGGTATGTCTTGCATTAAAATAAAATGACACTGCAGGGGTCTGCTTATTTTTACTAAAAGTTAATTTATTTTGTGAGCCTTTCTTAATTCCCTTATTTCTTCTTGCGTCTCCTCTCCAAGATGTAAATTAAAAAGGTGAACGAGAATATTTAATTTCTTGCAACGGAAAGGTTAGACAGAGCGTGATTTTACTGGTGAAAGCTCAAGTTTCCTAGCTTTTCTCCAGCTGTTAATCTTAATTGCGGCTACGAAATTTGGCCGTCTAAACAATATATTGCGCGTGCAGGTTTCTGAGTCAGCTTGTTAGACTAAATTGAATTGCGTATACTAGAACAAAAAAGTTTTAGTCCAAAGGGGCATTTTGCCCTGAAGAACTATTCATTTCGTTTTGGCATTTTGGGTTGAAATCTTAAAAGGCTGTATCACTTTTCAAATCGTTGTCACCATATAGTATCACCCTGTCTTATATTTAAAGAAATTAAATAATGAAGAATCTGCATAAATGTATGTATGTATGTTTCACGCATTATGATAAAAACAACAGTAGCTAGAGACAGCAAATTTTGAATAACGTAGTCCTCCACTCGAATATGAGCATCTGGAAGCCCAGATTTGAAATTGGGAATTGGTTTTGTTATCTATTTTATATTATGTAAACGTTTAACGAATTTTTGATTAAAAAAACTAAACGATTTCAAAGCGAGCAATGGCAACACCGTACGAAAACAAAGACATTTTTATCTCCAGCGCGCAAGACTCTGTATCGGAAATTCTAAAGTTATGCTCATTTCAAAATTAATCTGTGATATTGCTGTTGAACTGAATTTTATTGTTCAAGTACGTAGAACATGATATTTAATAAATAAAAGTAACATACAAAACTTTGAAAAAACGCCCCTGAAGACCTTTAGACGTAATTTAAAATCTGAAACCTTTCCTATTTTTATGTTATTTTTACATTTAAATTTATCGTTAAATTAACTTTTAAATTTTCACCGCAAGTGGCCCGGTGTTGCTTTGTACGAGTGCAAATCTGTGCTTTTTGTTAAATAGTTTGTGATCAATAAAAGGATCTTTTACACCTTTTTCCTGGTTGTGTTCATCTTCAAGCTCTTGCAAGAAGCTAACAACCAAGTAATCTAGTTACCATTTTATGATAGCGAAACGTACTAGATCCCCCAACTTAAGGTAAAAATCGTAAATGAAGATACACTTTTTGAAACGATGTAAATCTAAGAAATTGAAACAAAGCCAAGTTAATCTTACCGCACAAGAGTTCCAGTTTCTTAAAAAGTCTCTTTACTTTAAGGTTAAATTTATTTACTTTTCATAAGAGAGGGGCTTGTTTGCATACTTGAATTCTAGTTTAATTTTAAAAGCATGTATTCAGTTTTACTTGAAATAAGTTAGAATTATTTCACCCAAAACTATACTTTTATTACTGTCATTATATTTTTATTATTATCATGCTTTTATTAGTAATATTACTTTACATCTTTACTTTTACTACTGTTATCGTCATAAGTTTCTCCTAACATTTGTGCATTTTATTTTTGTTCTAGAGCGAACCCTTGCGCTCAGAAAGGGGACAAATGCCACGCTTTCTCTGAGGAGAAAATTAGATGCTGTGAAGGTACTCTTTGCAAGTGCACAAATGGAGGTTGGAATTGCACTTGCCAATAATGGATGTAACATTCCCAGCCATGAAATGTTCACATGTTAAATAACTTCTGACTTCAGGCTTCTGACAATAAAATGATTGGATAATATAAGTTTCCTCATGCTTGTAAATTTATAAAAGGAAAAGTGTTATAAATCTTTGCCAAAATAAGAGATTAAAGGAAAATCACAAAACAAGATTCAGTTAACAGAATTCCAAACTGTTTTTATTTTCTCTACAGATACCATTTGTATTTCGCAGTTTAAATTTAAGTATAAGATCATCTAATTTTAATAAGCTAGAAATTCTTATTTTTATAAATGTGTTCACCTCAAAGCTCTTATGATTTCAGTACTTGAGTGTCCACGCCTATATATGAAAATTAGCTTACCTTTGAAACCATTGCGAGTACTGTTTCTTTAAGAAACGAATATGTAAATCTGAGATCATAGGAGCTGCAAATATCTTTTCAAAAATATCTTTGATTAAGAAATAGAATCTTACTTTTAAAACAATCAAAATAGCATAACCAAATTCTCGAGTAATCAGTTATGATCAAAGTCTTTATAAAGTCCATCTGCTAGGATTTACAGATTATCAATTATCATTAAATAAATTTCATTATAAGCAGTAAAAAAATGTAGATCTTTTTAATAATAAATGACAGTATTATACTACTGAAAGTTAAGACACCATCAAGTAACTTCTCTTTGAAATCTTGTTAACAGTATACTTGAATGGCAATACACATCCATGAAAAAAATTAGTGACTTTGCAAATTATGCCTATTTTTACGAACCGCGTTGTACAAAAGGTACTAATTATGTCACTCTAAGAATTATGAAAATATTAAGAGTCAAATATGGTGCTTACGTGTCCGTGACATCGTAAAAGATTTATAAGTACACAAATGGTTTTCGGCGATTTATGCATCCTCACTCCTTTACGATATTCGCCGTGTTTCTAGCATGCTTTCGGAAAATCACATAATTTAACAGGCTGACTGAGTAGCCACGAAAATATGGGTGACAGAATGAGATGGAGAAGTGTCAGTAGATTGGAGGAAGACCTATCACAAGAGCAGGCGGCTGTAGAGCCGATATGAAGTCCAGTGTTATCTGCAAATTGTGGAAACAGTTTCAAGATACTGGATCCATATCGGAAAGACCTGGAAAGGTCGACCAAGATCCACAACGATGAGTGACCTTGTTATTTGTCCCTTTCTTCTGGGCTGCACAGGATTGCTGCAGCTTCACAGCTCTCACATGAGCTGTATGATGTCACTCGAACCCGAGTTTTACGGTCGCAATTGCTCGAAGGCTTACTGTGGTAGTGTATACAGAAGACCCAATGTTTTCATCCCGCTTACTGCAGCACACAAGAGACAGCGTTTAGCATGGTACAGACAGCATGTACCTTGCACAAAAGTTCAGTAGAGCACCATGTGTTTTACATATGAGTCAAGATTCGGTCTGGAGACTAAATCTCATCGTACCTGTACCTGGAGAGAGTTTGGAACACGGTAGCATCTCTCCATCAGAGAACAAAGATCATTACTGTGGTGGAGACAGACATTATGTTGAAGAGCATATACCCCTGCATGTGCTTGACAAAGGCTCTCTGACGTATATGAGATACAGACAGGACATCTTAAAGACGTATATTTTATTTTCAAGTGCACAGTTCGTCCTGGAAACCTGTCAGTGAACGACAATTCTGATCCACATTTTACTCAGCTGGTCGACGATTAACTAGAAAGTGAAGATATTTCTCTCATGAACTGACTAGCCCGATCTCCTGACTTCAGTTTTATCGAGAATTTCTGGGACGCTCTTGGGAAGGCAATTTCATCTCGCCATTCCTCTCCGAGAACCATCCCAGAGTCGAAAAGTGCATTTCAGTAGCAGTGGACTGTATTGTCTCAACTGCCTCTCGTCTAGTATGTCGTTATGGTGTGCGACCTGCCTGAATGTGACAGAGGACCACACCCAATATTAGATCACAACGCGCATTTCAGACTTTGTTCACTATGAGCTTTACTGATAACTATGCACGCACAGAACGACCTTTGAGCAGTGCATCTCGTTTTCTGTTATAAATATATAATCACACCAGGTTTCTTTGAAATCTTTCCATTAGTTTTCCAGAAATTCGGTATAATGTGCAAACTGTCTTAGTTTTGCACACGATCACATACTATAAATCAGTTCTAGTATATGTGACCATTACACGGATAAATGTAAAATAAGTCTTTAAAACAATAGATTTTATTCTTAGAATATATTTGGTATTAATATTTTGGTTAATATTTATTTGTTGAAGTCATTTATAAAAGAATTAGTTCAAAATTCTGGAATATATTTTTTTATATAAGGACCCTGCGTAGAAATCCAGGGTGAATATGTTCTTTATGTTCTTCCGATACTAAACAAATACAGTGTTTGGTAGATTTTCCTTTTAAGGTACAGTAATTTGCTCCTTGTAACAAGCATTTAACTGTGCATAACACAAAGAAGTCATGAATATACGAGTATAAGCATAGTCTTCGGCGAAAAGTAATCTATTACTTAATTTTGAGGACAATCAAAAACATTTATTTAAAGATAATTAAATGGTCATTTGCTTGAGGGCAATTAAGAGACCTTTGTGAAACCTCTTTCGAAATCTTTCATTCTGTCTTAGATTAAATAATAAACTTTTTGATCCCCTTGGCATCTTTGCATAAGTCAGAGAACGTTTAATGAAACGATAACAAATGTTATTATATTTAATCGAAGATATTCAAGTTTGGTTGTGAGCTTAATATAAAGCGATGAATAGCTATAAAAATGCAAAAAATATATATTAGCGCTCTAAATATAGAGCTATCAACACTAAAGAAATAGTAAGAAAGCCAAAAATTATTGCCTGCAAAAACTGTGTCCTTTTACCTAAAGTGCGGCAAAAGAAGCAACTGAATAAAGAAAGAAATATGTTTTGAGATGGTACAGAACTGACAGTTCGATGATATAATTCAAAGATATTCTGGAAGTGTTTGCTTTTAGACATCTATTTCGTTGCTTTTTTTTTTGCGAGGGTACGTGCTCGAATCGAACCATCTGAAACATATGACGTTCGTACCAGTTTGCTTGTTTTTTTTTTTTTTAATTCGAAGTCTCAGATAACTTTTTATCCGACATTGAAAAGGAAAAAGGATAGTTTATTGACAACTGAATATGTGGTAACCAATGCAAAATTTAAGCCTATCGAAACTGTGTTTATATTCCAATTTTTGAAAAAAAATATTATTAACTTTTACAAAAACAATATTATAAGCAAATGTGTAATAACAATTTTATGTAATAATAGATAGATACCTTGTAAGGATCATAAGTTTTACTAACGTT